AAGGCAAGCTAGTAAGAATCCATTTTTGTGAGAAAATAAAAATTTTCAGGCTAAGGGTGATCAGAATTGAATAGCCTATTTGAATACATTAAGTATGTTATTTAGGTGTGGTATAACATTTGTGTGCTAAATACAACTTCTTGAGCATCAAGTCCTAACAGAAAAGAATAAAAATAAAAATAAAAAGTTAGGCCAAGCAGCTAGATATATGCAACTTATAAAGAACGTACATGAAGTTTGGAGTAAGTCAGAAGACTGACCGAAAGTCGTTAAAGTACACCTTGTTGCATTTTGTTGCATTTACACACAAACTAAATAATCAATCCCCAGTCGTCCAAGGGACTTGAGTTCCAATATGTTTCCTAAGCTCCAATACCATCTTCAAGATGCAGGGGGAGAAGAATTTTGGAAATTATGAAATTTCCATCAAATAGAATAAAGTATATGAATGAGCAGTTTGTCTAGGCATGAAGCAACAAGCCAATTGATTCATCGCTATGACACGGCCAATTCATTTCCCAATATCACATTTCTCATGTGATGTACATGGTAACGTAAAAAATCCATTAAATAATATTCTCTTCTCCCCCACGCCACATACTAAATGCAGACTAATGAATCTTAAAATTCATTACTAACAGCATATCAAACTTCTCGTGCGATAAACAATGATACCCAAGGAAATGTAAATGCACTAATTCATGTTTCTTTCTCCCAAAAGTCAAATACAACCTAAATATCTTATGCAGAAGAATCAAGAGAAGCATTTATAGACACCTCTGGTAAAGCAGCAATCTGATTCCCCGACATTAGGTCCTTAGCTCCTAAACTACACTTTGCTGCCAGCATCCCAATTCGGACTGCCACAGGACTGGGATAGGAATTACTGATCCTCCTCTTGCACTTCTAAATATGTTGTGTGAGCATTGCTCGATACGAACCATCTAAAATATAAGGACTATAAGCATCTTCTTCTTCGGTTCCCTCATCGACATTATTTTGTTAGTGTAATCCACCATAGCTCCACCTATTTACAACCAACAAAAAAAAATAAATGTCAATCCATATGCATGAAATTTTATTTTACCAACACAATTCTACTCACGAAAAACACAAAAACTAAATCATACCGTGTATATATATGTCTTAGTATTACGCTTCCCATTAACAGAAACACAATAACATAAATGCATATGTGTGTAACGAGAGAATGAATTTGTATAATGTGAGTGAATTTTCAAAGAAATAATCAAAATGGGTCATTGTAACTCAATGAAACAATGGAAATCTCCTAAGAAAAAATGACAACCTTGGTCACCTCTGCACTTAGCCCGACCACTATTACCATAATAATCAAAATCATCACCTTGTTGTGGTAGTTTAAAGTACATCAAAGACCACATAAACCCCACCCCCACCCACAAAAAAAACAATTTATCACAAAATTTCACAAATAACATCAATTCAACATACCCAATTCAAATTGACTACCCCAAAAACAAATGTATACAGAAAGTACAAAGTAATAATAAAAACCTATCTTTTTACAAAACAAATGAAGACATAAACAACACTATAATTCACAAATAGAACCCATCTTAGAGCTTTGAAAGTATTACAAAGAGAAGAGCCCTAACAACCCGTAGTCTATGAGGAGCATTGGAGAAGAGAGAAATACATAATGAGAAATCATCACAATAAAACCCATCCTATTTCACCCAATAATTTGCTAGAAACCCCACCCAAAAGAGCAACCATCTAGCGAGCCATTTTACAATCCAATTAAAACCAAATCCCATTTCATCATCTTATTTCAAGAAAAGTTGAATAGTAATGATTTGAATTTGCTTCCAACAATATCTACTTCAATTGTTTGTGAAGTAATTCCACAAACACTTGGTGTCATATATGGTGATTATCAATTTTTTTTTGGTTTTAGTTTAAGTGGTTCAATATGAAATCCAAGATCTTTATGGGGGATGTTTTATGGCGAAAACCAAAACAACAACAAAATTTCGAACAGAACAATTTTCGTGAAATATTTTATCTTTCTCAGCATTCAACATTTTATCAAGTTTTTCAGTGCCTAGGGACAATTTTCTTGTGTGTTTCTTAGGTTCATCAAGGTGTTTTCAAGTTTAGCAACTTTAGACTTAACAACTTGTTTTCTCTCTTTGGAGTCATGAAACTCACATTCTAAATAGTTAATTTTCTCTGAAGACGGTTTCTTATCATCCAATTTAGTGATGACATCATAAGAAGTATGAACACGGACATGGGACACGGATACGATACGACATCGATACGCTGACACGACATTTCTAAAAAAAGTAAGACAGACACATTGGAGATACGCTACAAAAAAATATATTTTATATATAACATTATATAATTTATTGCAAATATAGTGATAATGATATATAATTCATAAAAAAATCAATAATTTATGATAAGAAAATCTAATATCTAGTCATTTGTGTTAATTTTTAGACTAAACATCCTCATTATAATCAATAATCATAAATTTTTTTTTTGTAAACCATGTGTACTTGATATATAATTTAAATAATTGCTCTTATTTTCTCAATTCCTCTTTTTTAAAACTTTCATGTATTTTTTTTTTTATTATTATATTTGGGGTACAACTTTAATATGTCTAATATTAGTAATTATGTGTTATGAAATGTTTAAGCTTTGTTAATCACATTACAACAATGTATATATTGTTTAGTAGTAGACACGTTCTAAAGAAGTGTCGGACACATCATCAAAGAAATGCTCGACACGTGTCCGAAATTAAAAATTTATCATTTAATTATGGACACGGATAAAAGAGTATCGGACACATGTTCGAGAGTGTCCGAAGAGTGTCGGTGTCTGACACGGATGTGTCACATTCTCGAGAGGGTTTGTGCTTCTTGATTTTGAGAGTTCAATTCTTAACTCTTCAAATTCTCTTGAAGCACACAATTTCTTGTTTCAAGATTTTTGAATTTTTTGTTCATATATAGTTGTGCTTTCTTTTGCTCAGAACATTCAATGAAAAGTTCTTGGTAAGCAATATGAATGTCATTCCCTAATCTAGAGCTCGTTTCACTGAAGGTGTCTTCACTAGAGCCTATGGAGTTGATTCTGTTGAATTCCATTACTAGTTAGGGTTAAGTCTTCTTAATCCATTAGATCAAGTAAGCAAAAACTTAAAGATGCCTACCAAGTGCTTGAGTGCAATTCTCGGGGAACATTGCTCTGATACCAATTGAAAAAATCTGATTTGATCGTCCCCAACATGAATATACACGTGGAAGTATACAAGCATGACCTGAAGGGTGAATAGGTCTTTGACACTTGTGGCGGAAATCTACATTAATTTTGGACCTATTAGCCTCAATTAAAAAAACCTCAATTACCAATTAATTGATTGATTGGCAAGTTAACGCTTAGTGATCCCCTTTTCACAATGAACATACCCTTAATATATGTGTGGATGCAAGATGCTCAAATTCTCAAATTCAGCAGTCACAACTTACAAGTAAATCCATCATCCTTGTCCCTCCAATGGATTGATGATATAAGATATGTCAATCATTCAATCAAACCATTAAACACATGGTGTGTTTGTGTAATTTCATGTGTGTGTGTAAAATAAAACAATAAACAATCAAACAATAACAAGGCAATTCTAACATGAAAATCTTGGAAAAACTATGGGACCATTCCTATTCTGTCGTAACTTAATCCTCTATACTTAAAATTGATTACAAGGTGAAATACTTATACTGCAACCAATACACCGTGGTTAGATACTTTATCCTTGAATCTAACCCTTTGGAATTGCCACTTGAGGTCTTGAGCTATAGGCGAATTGAGCTCCATGATTCAACTTCTCCTTTTTCAATCTTGAGGGACGTAAGTTTCTACAAGATCTCTCATTTTTTTGATTTGGATTTGAAGTATGAGATTAATCAAAGTAGATTAGCCTTTAGATTCTTATGGATTCAAGGTTTATCCTTGACCCTCTATTAGAGAACTTTTGGTTTAATGAGAGTTTCACTAAGCTAAAAAGACTTGCCTATAAATATAGGCTTCATAATTAGTGTCAACTTGATGCCCAAGAAAATTAAAATCCATGAGCGATTGTTCAAACAATTAGAGGGCAGTTGTCATTGGAATGAGAAAATGAATGAATCTAGGTTAGTTGAGTAAGGACCGCTTGAGCAATGGTCAGGTTACTTGAGCTGTCTGCCAGCCGTTCGAGCAGACAGCGAGAGGCTAGAGAGCCGTCTTCACTATCTAACTGTTTAGCCTTCTCCGAATTTTCCCTTTCACAGACAGCCCTAGCCATAGGCCAATGGGTAGAGAACAATTCCTTCTAGTTTTAAGCCGAAAATCAAGCAAAATTTTATACTATTGAGTATTAAAGGGTGTGTTCAACAAGGATCCGATCTATGAATCAATCTATGTGTTTAAAACAAGATTTGATGTTTCAAAAGTATTTTCAATAAAAGTCCTATTAGTTATGTATTGATTCATCTTGAATCTGTTTTATTAAAACCTAATGAGCTAAAGTAAAAATACCAAGGGTGTTAAGGCCTTTATCTTTCCTAATCATTGAAGGATCTTAAGAAGTCATCCTGATGTTGCATGTACCTAACTCCTTTATTATTATTTTCTTTTGTAGCTTTGGATCTTTATTTTTTAGTTTCTAGACCATGGATTTTATTGAGATTAACAGTGTGATTTCACGGATTGGCCAATTGCAATAAACAATTTCTTAACATATTAAACACGTATGTTGGTTGTATCTATATCACAGGTTTTTCAGGTTCCGCAATACTTGTATTGTATGGTCCCCATATTTCATATCCATAGCTTTACTTCATAGCTGGTAACCGTGTACATATAATTTAACCATATTTATAAATTGAGGAGTTGATAAGATAAAAATAAAATATACCACTTATGCTTAACTAAGTAATTTGAGTATTATTTGATTTCAATGTATCTTATTATGTCTCTACTAATAAGATAATTAAATCACTTTTTTCATGAATTCGTTGTTCCAAGATGAGTCACACAACGTCCTTGTGTCTTTTGAAAGCCTACTTATCTTGCATCTTTGCTCCTCGACCCACGTTGTGTTGTATTTTGGGAGGATTCAGTGGTCAATTACTTCACCATTCCATCAAGGCAAACATCACTGCTAGTAAATCTATGAGACACCACATTATTACTTGTTGGATGCCGGCCCGAGAGCTTACTGACCATGGTGATACCATGACTCCAACTTCGAGAGTTTCTCCAAGATCTTCAAGGCTCTAATATTGCTTGTTGAGTTTTGCACAACCGCTGATCTTCTCTGATACCAATTGTTGGAATTAATTTGTTTAGAATTCCTTTGATACCACTTGTTGGGAGATAAGAATTGAAGATAGATAGAAATGAGAAGGAAACACAACTACAAATATATATGTGGTTCAGTAAGGATAAATCGATGTCCAAGTATGTGGTTTGGATTTCATTTGATTTTTATGTATCCTATCCTATCATTTGATTTGGATAGCACACTTAAAATACTTTCTCTATCCAATTTTGGGTTCTCACATGATTTTCTAACAATGTACTAAATTTAGATATCTTTTGATACTTCTTTTTCTTAAAATGAGTAAAAAAGGATAGCAAAATTTTAGTGTCTCGTTAGCAGGAAAAAAGTGTTTTCAAAAGGTCAAAGGCACAATTTATTGTCCAAAAGGAAAAAGTGTTTTCCCAGTCTCTCTTTTTGCATACATGTCACAACTTGTATGGTAGTATGGATAAGGCTATTGAAAAACGAGTTCTATTTGAATTTGATTATTTATAGCCATTTTTAGTTAAAATATTAAAGTAAAGTGGAAAAATAATTTGTCATATTCTCCGTAGTTGGACACAATATGTCTTCGACAAAGAAGCAAATAAGTGATATTTTTTACAGATAGTCATCAAAATGCTATTGCTGTTTCATCTGGATTTTAAGTGAAAATTGTTATTTTAAAACGCAATACTGAATGGTGCTTTAGTTTCATCGAGTGCCCTTTTCGAAAGATATGTATGATAATTCTCGCATAAAAATATATGCTCAGATAATATCTCGTTTACTGTTTGGCAAATATATTGTTTTAAGGGGAATTGGTTTTATCCTACTCTTTAAGTTTGGTTGTGCTAGAAAGAATAGATGATTTGATTCAAGTTAAAAAACAACATAGTAGCAATCTTTTAGGGATGTGACATGTTTTTATGTTACTCTATGTGTTATGTTTTTGTCCTTGTTCTCAATGTTTCCTTATGTGCTCTAGTTTCACAGAGATGGGTTTGTATTCTTCATAGGGGACGTGGTGAATTGTGCTTCGGTTCATGTTGGTGAGATCCGACCAGGTGGTGTGAGGGGAAATCACAGACATCATACTTGCAATGAGACATTAGTCATTTGGGGAGCTAAAACCGTATTTAGGGTATGCTCTCTCATCCCCTGAAGGACAAACATTATTGCTTTTCAAAAGTTTAAACTCATGTAGGTCGATCACTTTTTAACTGTAAGGGAAACCAAATTTTATGCTATATGCAAGTGTTCACCACATGTTTTGATTTTCAAAAGTAATGAGAAAAAAATAAAAGAAAATATGCAAACTCAGTTTGTTTATTAATAATTCTATTTTTTCAAAATTCCTCTAATTCCTTGCTGAAATAGTGGTCAGCAACAATTATATGGTATTTTACCCACAATTACTCACCTCATGCTCAGAACTGCAATCCTCCCCCCCTTCACACACACACGCACTTTTAATCTGCAGAGGAGATTCGCATTTGACTCTTGATGTTTTGCATTTTTCAATGACAAGTTTAAAAATCCATTTACAGTAGCATAGAAACAAGTATGCAATCAACATGACACTTACATATCAAGTTCTGTTTCCATTTGTTTGTCTCAAAGTCCTTAGTCTTAACTTACTAATTATCTGCAGTTGGAGAATAAAGCGATGGATAGAGGTTATGCCGAGGTAATAGTTGGTGCAGATGAGGTTGCTGTGGCAGCCAGCCCAAGTGGAACGGCACATGCTTTGGTAAATCTGGATCCTGTACGGAGTACCTTCTTCTTGGGGTGCCAGGACAGTATAATCAGTTATAATGTCTCTACTTCTGACTATAATGTTTGGAAAGATCTTTAAGTGTTCTTTTATGTCATCTGTCCATGCCACCTCTAATTTTTCTGTGAGAAGGACTCGCAAGTGATCATATTACACTATTGGGGTCCAAAGATGAATTTTAGTCTTATGAAATTAGATGAGGCATCTATGTACATAATGCAACTATCATGTACCAGTGCGACCATTCTTTTGTTTAAGTTGCTCAAGGCGGCATGTTATGCTCACTTAAATGTATAGCTCAGATTTAATTCAATGAAAAGTCTCCAGTTATAATTATAGGCCTAATGATGGCACATCCACAAGTTGGACTAATAAAATTGACTTTGGAAGTCTAAGCAGAAGATTCGGAATTTTTGGTTCAAAGGGAAGTGTAACTTGTAGTTTTTTAGGATTAGTTTTATTATCATTTAATTTAGGAGTATTTGTTTGACTAGGAATATTAGTGAGAGTTTAATTAGTTAATTAGTATAGAGTTCTAGTAGCATAAGAGTTTAAGAGTTTGATAATGAAACTCTTCTAGAATTTTGGTAGGAGAGTTCTTTGGTGAGGGACTTGGTCTATAAATATAAATGTAATCCCTTCTATTTTCATCAGAGAGAGATTATAAATATGAATTGATTATTCTTTGTGGAGAATTTGTGTTTTCTTGACAAGTAAATTCATTCCACCTTTCTTTCTTCTTTTCTGTTCTTTGACTTCTACTTTGTCCTGCATCAATTTAATATTAGAGCTCAATCTGGAGCCACTGCTGCTGCCACCAGTCTCTTTATTTTTCTGTTCTCGATGAATCTGAAATTTCTTTGTAATCAGTCGCAGATGCTGCAATAGATCGGCAGTAAGGCGCTGTGAAGCTCTGATCGATTTGCTAAGATTGTGAGGCTGCTGTTGCTGTAGTAATAGGGTTTGTTTGAAGCTCAAATGAGCCGTCCTCATAACCAAGACGGTGGTTGTCAAAGTGTGGACCCCATGGTGATTTTCCAAAGCTAAATGTTAGTGAAAATTGAAGGTGGGTCTCCCTAGATGGACTTATAATGATTTGAGTCTTGAAAAGAAATTTATTTGAGGATAAGTTTAAACTTTGAAGAAACTTATCCTCAAATAACTTTCCTCAAATAAGCTAAATGTTAGTGAAAATTTAAAGGCGAGTCTCCCTAGATTGATTTATAATGACTTGAGTATGTAGGTACTTAAATTCACTTATTTTTTAAATTTCAAAATTACCTATAATAGTATTAGTTTTGTCTAATTATGAAAAATCATATAGGTTAGATCATTGAAGTATAAATGAAAATATTTGATTGAGATATATATGGAAACTGTGTATTAAATATTATGATAATTAATGGAAGTTATATACGAGAAGTTTAATTTACGAATAAATTGTTAGTCTATTAAGTCAAATCAGATTACAAAATTTTCTTAACAACAATAATGCATAATATAGGGAGATTGAACAATGCCAACAGAGTTCAGTAACATGTATGTTAATATATACTAATATTCATGTTACTATATAATTGAAGTTACAATTAGAGTCGTGTTACCAGTACAGTTGTATTACTATACTGACACTAATGTTATTATAATTAATTTTAACATACGATTACAACCTTGAGATGTATATTATGTAACATATACTTTAATATTCACAATAACATTAAAACTGCGTTTTGTAACACATTTAATTTTACAAAATACAAGACAATAATTTTTTTACATTAACATCAACTTTCGAATGATTTTAGTGAAAATATGATTTACAAATTAAAAATTTACAAAATGACAAGTAGTAACACACAATTGACAGTTGAATTATGACACTTAACACCAATTGTGAACATCAAGACATCGAAATTTTGAACTCCATTTTTCGATTCACGTACAATAATATGAATTTTTTCCACAATAACACAATTAAGGAATATTCGATTGTCTTGTGCAACAAAAAAATCTACAAAATTGAAATATATAACACTTTAATTTAGTACTAATGTACGATTCTCTTAAATCTTGGTTACAAGGTTAATGCCACTTTGACAGAATTAAATCCCTAATTATTATTATTTTTTTACCATATTTTTTTTTTTGTGAGTATGTTACTTTTTTATTAGTAATTATGTTACTGTTTTTATGGAGTATGTTTCTATTGTTATTTTTTAAATATAATATTCAGTATTAATATTTTGTCGATGAAGTCCAAAATAAACTGGAATAATAAATTAAAATTATATTTTATGGAATGTAATGAGTTTAAAATTTGAATATGAATAATTTTTGGTAAATGTCGATTTCTTGTTTTTCGGATAAGGAAACATTGTGACTTGAAAGTTTATAGCAGGATTTGAAGGCAATTATGAAAGAGATGTATATGGTTGGTTATTGTGTCCATAAACGTCGTTTATAACATTCCTATAGGAAAATGTTACAACGGTAAAATTGACAAAAAAGAGACTTAAAATCAAATAAATTTCCTTGACGGACTTATCTCTAAATAAGTCCATATAGGGGGAATGACATCCAAATTTTCCTAATGTTACACAGTGTTTGGCCCATCTCCACAAATAACTAGTTAGACTAAATTTCATTTAAAGCATGATTACCAGAATTTAATTAATTTGTGATGATCCTCGATCTAGATACATTGATTCCAAACGGAGTGCGTTTGCGATTCAGATCACCAAAATTTACGATCCTAAATTATATATTATTTTAGATAATAGAAAATTAAGTACAGATACCAGATAATATTTTATTTAGTGTTTATNGAGTGCGTTTGCGATTCAGATCACCAAAATTTACGATCCTAAATTATATATTATTTAGATAATAGAAAATTAAGTACAGATACCAGATAATATTTTATTTAGTGTTTATCAATGTTCTGTAGCATATGTTGTATAGTATTGAAAACAATTTAGATAAGAGTCTTAAAATAAATTATGACTCAAAATAATGTATTAGTTAAGCATACTTTGATTGTATTGTGTATCTAAAAAAATAACTTACCCTAAATTTATACCCGTATCACGTCATCAAGTGACCCAAGATTCAGGTAACCTTGATCTTGAGATAGTCTGGCCAACAAATGTTTGTATTTTTGAAAGCATCTTGACCTAGCTTACTGACACAACTCCAACACCGCAAATTTCACAAACTCCCCTAAAAAGTTTCTAAAAATTATAGTTTGTCTCCAAAATTTTTAGAAATTGCACTTTGTCTCTAAAAGTTTTAAAAAGTACACTTTGGCCCCAAAAGTTTCTCAAATTATGATTTCTCTCCAAAAGTTTATGAAATTATAGATTGATCCCAAAATTTTCAAAAATTTCTTAAAACTCGCTTCCAATCAATATGGTGACTAATGCCGAACTAAGTGCTAGAATTGAAGCACATGATTTGTGACTAGATTTGCACCAAGCGTTGATGGATTCCCTCCAAGTATCCATGGCCATTGTTTTAGATAAAAAGGGTAAAAGAGTTGAGAAATGCCGATAATAGTTCATTGTCTTCAGTCATCAATTCGTCATAGGTGCTTGTACAAGCCCCTCCACCATAAGCTCAAGTTTGGGAAGGTCTCAAATTGTTTGATGTTGATAAAATAGTTAAGCTAGAGGTTGTGGATTTTCATTGGGATAATAATCCTGAGATATTCCTTGATTGATTGTATAATCTTGAGAGCTTGGTATCATCTAATTGACAAAAGAAAGGTATTTTTTGTTGTATTAAAATTTAAGGGTATAGAAAGACTTTGGAGGATAAAGCACCAAGAAACTCGCTTTGATAGATGTTGGGAAAGTTCTGAGAAATTTCCCAATATCTTTTTGTCGAGTAGTACATAGGAATCTACAACTTGGCCACCTGATCAGTGTTCCTATGCATTGAGGATATAATGATTGCCATGTATATGCAAGAACTCAATTCCAAGATGTTGTCGGGCTTAATTGCAAGCCGTCTTTACACCATGGTAGATATAGTTTAGGATGTCTACTAGATGGAAAATGAGTTGAACACGAGAAACACCTACAACACAAATGGTGAGAGCTATCGTAAATGCAAGTTAAGGTACATCCACCAATAAACCTCAAGAGAGTACTGTTACTCCAATTAAACTATCTCGGGCTAGTGTTACTTTTTTTTTTCTTTAAGGGAGTACTAATTCTATGACAAGATGCTTTAATTGTCATGGTTTTGGTCATTTATCTTTTCAATGCCTTACAAAATCTGTTGTTGTGGTTGAAAGGGAAAGTTTTCAAGTGAATAAAGATTCTAATGAGCTAGAATTTGAAACAAAAATTGTAAAACCTCTTGACGTGGGGGAGGTTACTTTTGATGATTTGAATGATGATCATCTTGTGGAAGTTTTCCGTCCTTTATTTATTGTTAATAAAGAAGCTGATAATGGTGAATTTATTCATCGAGGAAAAATCTTTCAAACAAGGGTTATTTGTTAAGGACATGTATGCTCATTATTGATTGATATTGGGAGTTGCATAAATGTAGTATCAGAAGAGGTCATAAAGAAATTGAACTTGAAAGTCAAACCACATCCGGAGCCATATCATGTGGAATGAATTACTAATACTAAGCTGAAAGTTAATAAAAGGTGTGAAAGTTGATGAAAGGTGTCCAATTAAATTCACCATTGGAAGCCTTAATTAGACAGTCATGTGTGATGTATTGCCTTTCAAACTGTCACATACTTCTTTTTTTTTTGGAAGAAAAAAGTACACTTGTGCTACAGATGCATGTACAGTGCAACTCAAAACAAGTTTTTTATTGATTCAGAGAGCTTCTCTAGTAGATGGTATTCTTGTCCGTCCTCCTTACTCGCCGGAGTTGAGTGTTTTTCCCAAGGAAAGAATTGATGGCGCAAACGTTATATTGGTATTTTTATTGTTCTTATTTATTTTGGAAGTATTTATTTGACTAGGAGTATCATGTTGGAAAAATAATATTAAACATGACTTTTTATGTTTTAGGAGTTTGTTTTATGCATTTAGTTTTTTGTATTAGTGGGTCATCAATTTGATATCAATGAGAATTTAATTAGATAATTATTATAGAGTTTTAGTAGTACAAGAGTTTAAAAGTTTGATTAAGAGACTCTCTTCAATTTTTTTGTTGGATAATAGCTTTTTTTTTGTTTTTGTTTTGGTTGGGTCTTAGCCTACAAATATAGATGTAATCCTTCTATTTTCAGTAGAGAGAGATTATGAATATGAATTGGTTATTCTTTGTGAAGAATTTGTGTGTTTCTTGACATATTCCTTGCGAGGATGAGGTGAATCACTTTTTCTTTCTTCTCTTCTTGTTCTTTCTTCTTCTTTTCTATTCTCTGACTTCTATCTCTTTCGTCCTGCATCAACTAACGGCTTATGTACTTAACAAATGGATGTAAAAGAACTACTTGGATGTTTGGGCACACATTAGTGAGTGTGTTACTAGAAAGGGTGCTTGCAGTTTTGTTGAGATAGATTTATGAATTTCGAATCATACTCCTCCAAATTACGACAAAGGAAATCAAGTGAAAGTGATTTGTCGGGTCCTATAGATATGTAGAGAATACAAGCTGAAGATGAACCCAATAAAGTGCGCCTTCGGAGTAACATTACAGAAATTTCTTAGTTATTTCGTGAATTAACAAGGCATGAATGTAGCTACTTTTTATTTTAATGTCTTGAATTCGAAGAAGCCAAGTTGAGATAACTAAAATGTCGATTTGCATTTTGAAGTGATTCATAAAGTGTCACTGGTGAGCAATTCTTTTTAAAGTTTATGTTGAAGTTGGGGTTAATTCTAAATTTGACAATAGAATACGCAAACATTTTTAATCAAAGTTAGTTTTTTAATTCAAATTGAGTATTTTTATATATAAGCTGCCATCGTCCATAGTATGCTTTGTTGATTTGTTAATTTGATTTGCACGAGTTTGTCAATTGAATTGAATTTGCTAATCCGAATTGAGTTGTTAATCCGAATTTAGTTTGTTTTTATATAGACCGTCCTATGCACATAGGTTCATTTTGTTGGGTTTACACTCTTTATTTAGTTTGATAATCAAATTGACTTTGTTAATCGAATTGAGTTTGTTGTGTAAGTCATATAGGTTAATTTTTGTTTTTTTCCTGGTGTTGGGTTTGTGTTTTAGGCATTGGTGTTGGGTTGTCAACTGGGTTTGTGTGT